TGTATTTTATGATATAGTTGTTGTTAAGTAGGTTCCAATTACTTATCAAATACTCTACTTAAGTTGTACTTTAATGAAGCTTGCATACAAATACACATTAGATATGCTACTTAATTTGCAATTATTAAACAAGTAGTGGTTAAGTACAGATCAAGTAGATATTGGATACACTACTTAACTTTGGATTAATTGACTGGGTTGTACAATCTTCATATAAATACATGTTAACCCCTGCACAGATATATATCAAGTAACTGGCGGATTTAACAAAAACATTCAAATACAAGTTAAATACTTGTTAAAATACAAATTAAGACATATAAATACTGATTAAGTATAGTTCAGGTATAGATCAAGTAACAAAAGTTTCCCAATGGCATCATGATAATAATATTGGACACCAATGTAATGAGCACTATACTATATTACATATGATTTATAGCTGAATTTTCCATTGGCTCAATAAAGCATTTGCATATTTGATTTGTTTCATTAACTTTGAGCTCTCGCTGTCTTCTGACATAATGTCAAGTGACGGGGACCTGAGTTCATGAAATAACACGTATTGTTTCTCCAATATTTTAAGCTTTTTCTCTGCATTTGTCTTCTCTCTCAGGACTTTAACTTGGATGCTTTCTAGAGCATCTTCATATGCTTTTTCGATATGTTTATCTCTGTTCTGATGGTTTTGTTTTATATTCTTTTTTAGCTTGTAATGCTTTTTGTCTAAAAGTTCAACCTCTGGTGTCTGACCAAGGACAACAGCTGAATGCTTCACCAAGACGAGTTTGTAATTTCCGATTATTTTTAAAGGTATGTTAAGTAGCTTGTTCTTTTAAATTATGTGAATTTCCTTGTATTCCCTAAGCATTGTTTTTTTTTCATGACCACTTGATTGACTATATGTTGAGGCAAGGATTTGACAAGCTTATTTACTTGGGACTGTTGTGTCATGGACTACCTGTGTTGTTTATGATAGAGACGGGGCCATGTCACACCAGCGGACATGTGCTTTAGTGTGAGAGCAGTGTGGGTGAAAGGACATGAAGGGGAGTAATTTGGTGGGAAAAGTTTATATTTTTAACAAGATGTTGATGTATGTAACAAGCTTATCGTTATTAAAAACGCTATGTTCACACTCGACATGTTGTCTGTATACATCATCTTCTTGTAATCCCATCTCCTTTTCAGCTTGGAGACGAACTAGTAGAWTTGTTAGGATTTGTGCTGGATTGTAATTACTGGTCTGCTTGGTGATTCTCTTGATTGAGTTGAACACTCTCTCTTGTTCTTCAGCATTCAAGCTTTCTTATCCAAACGAAAACAATAAGTTGTGCTGAATGGTGTTACTTCCAGTGAAGTAGATGTTCTATCTGGCGTACCACAAGGCTCCGTAATTGGACCATGCCTCTTCTTATTGTACATAAACGATCTGCCCAAGAATCTCCTTTCGAAGGTTAGACTATTTGCTGACGATACTATTGCATATCTTGCTATCAAATCTGATCATGACCCCGATGCTTTACAAAATGATCTCGATAAGCTAGCCGAATGGGAAAAACTGTGGGATATGGAATTTAACGCGGAAAAATGCGAAGTCATCCATGCTGTAGTCCTTCGTGACACATCCGCCATAACTGTTTTGAAAATACCGCTGTCTAAGAAAATTGCAGGGAATAAGGCATTTTTGTCTCCTCCCCTCCCCCCTGTGTTCATTGTTTTGTTTGTTGCTATGCATGACGACATTTTCAGTCGCGTCGAACCACATGCTGAGGTGACAATATGGCGTCAACTAAGAAAAATACGAAAAAATCAAAGAAGGAAATCAGGAAATTGGCTCGTGAACGTGGACTTAAAAGCGCTCGATTGCAAGGAAAAGGTCTTGGCAGTCGAAAATCGTTTAGTTTGCCGGCTAAATGGCGGMAAATAAAGTACAGGCGYGGTAGCGAAACGAAGATTCAGTTCTCAAGTCCTGGCAGAACTATATACAAGTCTCAGAAACTTGTAAAGAAAAGGCTATTAGACCTAGGATTGACTGCTTGCTTAGAAAGTATGTCAGAGTCATCGCAAGCATCAGTCGATTCTTCTACTTGTGGCTCTACAATGGAAGAAGAAGGTACAGTGCCTGGCAATGGAGCCCTCGACACTTGCCAACCTGTGGCGATGGAAGAAAGACTCTTTGTTTGTCAGTCCTCTCAGCTACTTGACTTGATCGAGCAAGTAAACATGACTTCAAAATGTGGAAAAATCGATTGTAACGGTAAAAATTATTCAGCCTTTAATTTGTGGTTTTGTGTTAGCTAGGATACAATATGTCGATTCCTTGAACAAATCAACTTTTTATTCTGATTGCAGTGATTTTTACGCTTTCAAGCTTATATCTGCTGTTTATTTCATTTTGAAAACTGAACAACAGCAACTAAAAGCACATACTAACACATTCTCTATTGATCTATTGTTTGCATATAAGAACTTTGGTAGAAAAAGACCAAATTTATGTGTAAGAGAATTGTGTTTGTGATTGTTTTTGTTTATGTTTCTACTATAGACTTTCTTAACAAAAAACGTTTTGAAAAAAAAAAAGGTTAATGAAAGTTGTTGAACAAYAATTGCTACATATAATTCAGTTGTATGTGTAGGGCTACATAAAGTTGAGTTGTATACTTGTTGTCTCTTCTAAAATTGTCTTTATTTTTKTCAACAGGGCAACTTGTTGTGACGAAGGTTGAGCCTTCTGGACTAGGTGGTACATTGAATGCCACATTTGCATGTGATGGTTGTAATCTGAGGAAAGTGGACTTCAAAGGTTCAGTATTAGTTGAGGGCCTAGCACTGGGAGTAGCTTTTTTCATCTCTGGTCACGGTTTTGCCAAATTTGAAAGAACTCTAAAACAGTTCCTGGGGATAAGTTGTCTATCCAAAAATAGATACTATRACATTATTAAGCTAGTGTATCCCCACATAACCAATATATTAGATGAACAATGTGAAGCCGAGAAAGAAATCATGAAGGAGAAAGATAAA